TCATTCAAATTTGAAAATGTGCACGAATGTAATTATTCATCGTTAGATAAACTAGTTCTCGTCTTTAATAATTAGAAAAGAAAAATTTTAATAATTTTTGTAAGCAAATAGAGAAAAAACAGAGTTGTCTCAAATAATTTATAAAGGCATAATAAAGGCAAATTCATCTAGGCATAAAAATTTGTCTAGCTTGAGTATCGAAACTTAATAATAAAAATAACGTTGCCTTTTAATGGGTTAATATTACTTCTTAATTACGTTAAATGTTACCTATATAAAGTGAGTCCAGTATTCGACATGCCGTCGGTCCAAAAATGTGGAATTGCAACGTGATCCATTTTCGGAATCTTTTTCATGTTTTTCCATTTGGATTCCAACCGCGATGTAACTTTTTCAACAACATCGTTAGCTAATGCTATATATTTTCTTACGTTCGGTCTGCTCGATATGGAAATTCTTTCGTTAATAGAATCAGAGTCGCCGAACTCGTTCAGCGTAATCGCCACGAGGTAAGTAGGTATCGGAAGAGTTGTTTCAAAATGCGTCCAACGCATCTCGTTTTCTTCTTCTTCGTCTATTTTTTTTACCGGCATATTTGACAAGATCCTATACTTGGAACGATGTTTCACAGAAATGTTAAAAGTGGACCTGAATCTTGGATCATCCCAACATGGGAATACTCCTCGGGCTCCGATCGCTTGGAAACGTGTCGCGAAGACTGAACTATAATTTTTTAACAACGTGTTTCAGTAGATAAGAATAAATTTTCAATCAATTTTGTAAAAGTGCTTGAAATTGAAAAAAATGTACAAATATATGTTTTATAAATATTTATATTTGGAAAATATTTATATCTAGAACTATTTTAAATACTATCTTTATTTTTTTATAGTGCATTATCACTGTACTACTATTATATTAGATTTTGAATACATTATAAATATATAGCATTATTTCTTCAATATATGTTTAAATGTACATGTAGGATGACATTATCTGTCTTTCTTTCTTTTTGTCTCTAGAATATGAACAAATAAAGTTAATAGAATAATGAAAGTATTTTTTTGCAAACATAATTTTTCTCTAACAAGTCCAAACATATATTTCATGTTTAAAATGTAATAATGTATAATATAATTCAAAATGTGAATAATAATTTAATCTTTTATAATTATATCTCACAAAAAATACAATGAAATCAAATCTTTTTTAAATTGGCACATTAATACATTTAATTCTCGTTAATTGTTTATAGAGAAATAATAACTGTGTTTAAATATTAAAACACGTTTTATGCGCCATTAAAAAGATATATGTAATGAGGTCTATTCCATTAAATTTTACATAGTTTAAAGAATTCAGAATGGCGATAGTCACTGTGTACTGTACATATGATAGAAATAAATTATGGAGAATAATAGTAAATATCCTATTTACAATATTAAGTAACGATGTGTTAACATTTACTTACAACTCTCCCGTTTCTTCTTTATAAGAAGCCTTGAACAATTCATTTATCTCATTTATATCAATTGTACTAAAAATTTTGAATTTCATTTTTAATGTGTACTCCCCAGCCAGTAATTCATTGTAACGGAGGATCTTAATCTCTGCGTCAAAGTAATCATAGTTCCCTATTGGGGAATATTCCGTACCATTGCTGCTGATCAGCTTTGTTGACGATATATCTATCGATTTTCGAACGTGGAAATATATGTCTTGCGTTGAACGAAGAATGTCGATGTTGACATCGATTTCGCCGGAGAAAAAAAAGTCGTGTTTTGCTCGCTCGGGTTTCAAATGTTCTAGAAACGGCGAATCACTTTGAACTTCTTCGTCTGCATCCAGTACTAGCTTGAGATTATAATGCTTTGGTATTATATAACCCGGTAAACGGTTATCTGAGAGAGTACAATTACTCAAGGCAGAGTCATCTCCGGAACTTCCGCCAATAAAAAATACAATTGCCACGATAAAAATCAGGCCGCTGTTTAAAAGCAGTTTTTGAAATGCCATGCCAAATTTCGCTTGCAGCACCTGTAAAAATGTTTGTGTTAAAAAAAAAAATACAAACAAAAAAGTACGAGATTCTCTCTACTGTGATCTTTATAGGGATAAAGGAGAATGAGAGGATAAGAAACAATTATAACAATTTTGTTAAAACACAATACAATTATTATGTATCACAATTATTTTATATCACAATTATTACAATTATTTATACAACATTCATTATTCACGAAGATATTTGGTCAAGCTATAAGAACATGAAGAAGTAACTTTCACTCCAACACAAATATATTTGTACATTTGTATTTTGATGGAAGAAACTATAAATCACAATTCAAATTACGTTGATTCAATCCAATAAAATTAATATGCGGATGCTATATTAAAAATATATTTTTCACGTTCTCTCACGACTTGTCCAAATATTCTCGCAACTGAAAGTTACATAAAAAAGAAATAAACAATTATTTACAATGTTAATTTTAT